TTTCATAAGAACATCATAATATGCTATTGAAAGTGCTCACTGATTATAATTCACAGAAGCTTTGTCAATATTAAAATTCATTCTCACTAATAACTTGAGTTGCCGATTAAAAGGGCATTGAGAATAATTTTGTAAAATTATTATTTGTGTAAAGATAGAAGAAAATAGTATTCACTAAGAAGGTACGTGGAGGGCCAGGGAATAGCGCAGTGGCACAAGTGCCTACCCGGCAAGCACAAGGTCCTGGGTTCAATCCCCACTACCACAAAAAAAAAAAAAGGGGTAAGTAGAAGAATTAAGGTTAGTCCAACCTTCTGGAAGGACATTCCCAATGTTTTGAAAATGCTCATTGTTTCTGTTTATTATCTATGAGACACTTCCTAAGGGAATAATTAAATGTATATGTGAAGTTTCTAATGGAAACCACAGTTATTGATAAAGAACCCAGTACCTAAATATTTAATGGAATAATCTAAAAATTTTTGATGTGCAGTACCTATGAAATAGAATCATGATATAATGAAATATTTTTGTGTATATTCTCTAATCCAGGACTTCCTGTGCAGCATGAGTGTACACACACACACACACACACACACACATACACACTAGTACTTTGGTTCATGCACATTTCTGTTTGCAGACACTTCCAGTTCCGTTCACAAACAAAGGCATCCTGTCGAAGTTCGCTTGTTCTTCCCCACATGGGCCATCTTCCCACACGAGCAGCTGTGTCCCCAAATTGTAAAACAAATGAAGTTCGTAAGCCAGTACTTACTTTTCTTTGACTAGTGAGAAAAGGATTATTTTATACCTCTGCATTTTCAAAGTGGTCTATGCTGAGTATATATGAGTTTTATAATTGGGGAAAATGAACATCGCAAGCGTGTGGCCAGTAAGCATCTGTTGTCTTTCGTGCTGATTTACTTAAGAAGATGATAGTTCCTCTTTGTGCTGTGAATCATTTTTTCCCCTTTTCTGCTAGGACACTTCTCAGGGTTCTCCCACTCCCCAGTGAGAACTGGGGCGCTCTGGTTGGAGAGTGGTGCTGCCACCCTGACCCCTTTGCCAATAGGCCGCTTCACCCGCGAGAGAACGACTGTTTCACTGGAGACTCCTTCTTTTTGGTGAATTTAAGAAGCAATGTGTGGCAGGTAAGACCTGGATTAGTCCCATTACCGATGCTTTTTCTGGAGTCATTTGAAGTCAGAATATTTTCTCAAATTTTGATTGAAAAGCTGGGTTAGTTACCTATTTTCCCATAATTCAAAGTTATTGAAGAAACTGCTCTCAAGGTATAAATCCATTTTCTTTTTCTTTATTTTCTGTATTGGCAGAGGATCTCACCACGCAGCTCAGACTCGCAGTGATCCTCCTGTTTTCAGGCTCCCCAGTACTGGGATTACAGGCATGCGCCACCACGCCCAGTCTTGGTGACCTGCTCAACGTGCCCTGGGGCAGGGCCAGTGTGGCATGCGGTGCCGTGGATCGAACCTCGGTCTCTGCACTTGCCTAAGCAGGTGCTTAGTCTGCTGAGCTGTCTCACTGGCCCCCCCAATCCATTATTTTAAACTGTATTTTACAGCTTTGTTCTATTGATATAGGAAGAACTGTTAATTAAAAGAGCCACCAAGGGTTGGAGGACTGTGAAAAAACCTCTTCAGATATGGATTTGAGAGTCCTACCATGTTAAAAACCAAATGCCTTTCTTATTTATTTATTTTTAAGACAATATTGCAAAATCTGTTAACGTTAATAGTCTGATTTAAACCTTAAAACACATTGTACTACTCCATCATCTCTAGTTAGTCACGGGTATTCTACTGTGTCCCGCCCTAGTATAGACTTGTGCTCATGTTGTAAAAACAGATGCCATCAAGAAAAAAGAGAAGTGGGGGAGGCCAGGAGTGGACAGAAAGCTCGCGCTGCCAGGTCTAAATTGTTACTTGACTACAGGAGGTCAGGTGGCTCTTGCTATATGTGTTTCTTTTGAGAGAAGGCAATTTGCTTTCCTGCAGAAAACAAATAGTTTATTTTTAAGAGAAGCTCACTGGCATTGGCTTGGTTCTTGTAGGGTTCATCTGCTGATAGCTGGTCAGCATAGGTGTGATTTAAAAAGTAAGGAAAACCACTGCCAGGGAGTCTTTATTTTAGCATCTGAGTATTGGAAAGAACGGAACCATTGCACTTTGAATTTCATTTTGAACTCATTTAATTTTTGTAATAAGAACTGAACTACTGCAGAAAATGTACTTGGACAAGTCTCATGTTGTAAATTAATTTATAAAACTATTTGGAGGGAGAGTAAGAAAATTTGCCAAATATCTAGATTAATTTTGTTGTCAGAAGTATCTAAGTGCTCACCATAAAGAGAAACTCCTTTGTCTAAATATATGGTTCACTATATATTCCAGTGCCTTAGTAGTGTGTATTTTAGAAGGTAAATGACAAAATGGAAATAAAATTTGTAATGTGATTATATTCCTCTTGTATTTTAATCTTTGCTGTTTTATGTGTTTTTCACTTTTACTGTTACGCTGTACATTTTAATACTGTTTGGAAAGTGTGAGTGAAAAAGGAGTCGAGAAATTCTAGCAGGAGAAGCCATGTCCCTTTTTAGGTAAACTGCATTGTAGGCGGAAGTATATTCCTCACATTTATGTCTTTCTCTAGCATATGATGATATTCATAACAATTCCTCTTTCTTGTCCACAATTGTATATTAAAGTAAGACTCTTCTTGCTAAGATATTACAGTTGTGCTCTCAAGGAGGCTGGAGGACAGGACTGTCCCGAAAAGCTGCTGTGGACAGGATTGTTTCCAAGTTGGTCTAGATGGAAGTCTCTCTTTAATTGCATATTGTGCCAGTTGAAAGAGTGTGTGACCAAAATAGCAACGTCCAT